GCCAAAGTTAAGGACGCGCCTGTGACACAGCCTTAGGAAGTCCTGAGTACATGTACCTGTGGTGATCAGGGTACAGCCTACTTTTATCCATTTTAGGGAGACATGAGACATCAATCAATATATGTGAGATGTACAATGGTTCAGTCTGGTAAGGCAAAACAACTGGAAGTGGGGCCTTCCAGGTTAGAAGTAGGTAAGAGACAAAAGGTTGCATTATTTTGAGTCCTTGATCAGCCTTCCACTGAACGTAAAATTTAGTCTGGCTCACTGAGTTTGCATTTTTACATAAAAAATAGGGCAGAGGGGCTGGGTGCAGTGGCTCATGCCTGTAATCCCGGCACTTTGGGAGGCCAAGGCGGGTGGATCACCTGAGGTCGGGAGTTCGAGACCAGCCTGACCAACATGGAGAAAGCCCGTCTCTATAAAAATTACAAAAATTAGCGGACTATGGTGGCACATGCCTGTCATTTCAGCTACTCAGGAGGCTGAGGCTGGAAATTGCTTGAACTCTGGAGGCGGAGGTTGCAGTAAGCCAAGATTGTGTCATTGCACTACAGCCTGAGAAACAAGCTTCAAAAAAAAAAAAAGATATATATAATATATATAAAATATATATAATATATACAAAGAAAGTTATAATATATATATATGTATATTTGTTTCAGGTGAGCCTCAGAAGGATGACTTTGAGTTCTGTCTTTTATCCACAGGAATTTCCTTGTGGGCCAATTGTGAGGGAGGTAGTTTTGCCCTAAGCAGTTCCCAGCGTGACTTTTCCCTTTAGTTTAGTGATTTGTGGGAAGTGGGGGGGATGGTTCAAAACTTATTTTCCTTTCTCAACTCTATAAATTCAGTGAAAACATGTCCTCTTTCTTTCAAAAATGAAAATCATTATTGTCTGCCTATATTCCAGCAACTGGATAGTGCCATAAAATGCTATGAAGTTGAATACGTCAAGCTCTCTATTCAGAGGAATAGAATGATCAGGTAGAAGAGACACACCTGTAAAATATCAGTTCAACATACGGTAGAAGATATTGTGATTACATTTGCCTCATTTGGAATGTTTTAATGTACCCTGACAGTCTACTTAAAGTCTAAGTTCACCGCTTCCCAATCTGCTTCCATTTCACTGTTTTCTAAGCTGCCTTTCGTTGTTCTGCCAGAGCAACTGTTTTTCTAGAATGTGAAAAGCTGATTACATCATCTTCCCAACACTACTTTCGGAAAAACAAATTTGGTTATGGGATTTTCTGAAACTGTGTACACATTGATGATAAATCACAAACAAATTGTAATTTTGGAGATAAATAACTTTTCCCCTTGCTTTTCAATATTAGAAAATAGTTTTGTGTGAGGTGTTTAATACACTGATATATGAACCAAGCCATTGAGTTTTATCTTCACAAACACTACAATATTTATGTGATAACATGAAGAGGAGGAAAGCTGATTGCTCATGAACAAAAAGGCCATAAAATCATGAAAAATGACTACGGGAGAAAATACTATTTTTTAATATTTTCAGTTCCTACCCCAAAAAGGTGGGTACACACACACACACACACACACACACACACACACACATATATATACACACACACGCATATATTTGTAACCCTATTTTTAGAGTTCTAAAGCAAAAACTGTATTAGATTCTCCAAAATAAGGCAATCTTTATTCACTGTTACATCAACAGGTATTCATTGTAAGAACTATATAAAAATATAGTGTCCAAAACAGAATAGAGCTCAAGGAAAAAAAAAAAAAAAAGATGACATATTGAATGAGCCAAGATTTCAAACTGTGCCTAGAACACTCTAAACTCAGCTACATCCCAGCTGGTTTGTAAATTACATGCTAATAGGTCTTACCCATAGTAATAATATATATGTGTCTTCTATTTGATTTATCATTAAGCACCTACATTTAAGTGGAAATGAGAACCCAAAATATCTCTCTTTATATGCCTCATGAATCTTTTTTCTCTTTATTTCAATGATGTTGCTATCTTTTCATCCTGCACTGATGGGCTGTTCTTATATCTGCTGATGTTCAAGTCACTGCAAAATGCCTCGCCATTTTTGAAATGCATTCAATTCAAATCAAAATTTAAAAGTTCCTAAATATCCCAGCAATCACCAAGGAAGAGTCTTTGTGGCTACTTCACTGAGAGCATGTGGAAGAAAAGGGGCTTATTTTATGCCTGTCACAAAAACTGAAATGGAACAAGAAGGGGATAAAGACAAGGCCCTTATTTTTTCCTCAAGTCTCACCTATTCATATGATATTAAGGATCCGGACATCAACAATGACCTGTCTTACTTCTGACTTACATGATGTCAGAGAAGAAACAGTTTGCAAACATTCCGTTACCTTATTCCCTTTCTCTGTATTTTCTGTACTAAATACACACAATACGAATTCATGTTGAAAGGCATTCTTACCATGATTCGGACTATAAACTCTCACAGCACAAACATGCAGTCATTAGTGTATGTTAAACCACACAAAAAAATTTAAGGAAAATAGAATTTCTCTGTGACAGAAGGGTAAGAATGAGAGGAAAAGGTAAATGGATTGTAATTCTTTTTCATGGATCGAAGATTATCAGGGTCATATAAGATTCATCCTCTATTCTAGTAAAGGTTATGATAGATAAATTCAAACAGGGGTGTATTTCATTCAGAACGTCCACAATGAAATGAAGATACTTTTTCACGTGAACAGCTTAGTTTAGGCTTAAAAGCTAATATTCGGAGAGGTTTTATAATTTGAAATGAATATCCAGGAACGTTATGGGATTCATTGCTGTAGTGGCATCTGTATTATATAGGCTCCCATCATTCTTAATCAAGTTACATTACATTTTTCATTCATCCCTTCTTTAAACGTATATTTATTGAGCATCTACTATGTGCCAGGATGTGGCAAATAGACTAGTATTGATTTAGTCTTCACTGAATCAGTCAATCACCTTTTCAAATATGTTCAATAAGCTCTTGTCTCCCATGTGGCAGTCATTATAGTAGGTAACAGGACACACAAAATCTGTATAAAAAACTAGAAGTTCTACATTTGATAAATTTAGATATTTATGAAAAAGACTACACCTGTTTCAATACAGTATAATATGTAATAAAATAGGAATATGTCTATGGTGGTGCAAAGAATTAACTGTTAGAAGAATCATAGAAAACGTCACAGAAGCGAAGGCACCTGAGTTGGATGGTGATGAATAAATAGAAATGTGGGTGGGCGTGGTGGTTTAAACCTCTAATCCCAGCATTTAGCAACGCTGAAGCGGGTGGATCACTTGAGGCCTGAAGTTTGAGACCTGCACGGCCAACGTGGCGCAGCCCTGTCTCTACTAAAAATGCAAAACTTAGCTGGACATGGTGGCACACTCCTGAAATGCCAGCTACTCGGGAGGCTAAGGCACAAGAATTACTTGAGCCTGGGAGGTGGAGATTTCAGTGAGCTGAGATCACACCACTGCACTCCAGACTTGAGAGAGTGAGACTCTGTCTAAAAAAAAAAAAAAAAAAAAAAAAAAAAAAAAGTATTGGTAAGTAAGAAAACTCATGTGTAAATGGTTTTGTGTGTTTGAAGATCTATGTGAGTTCCATGAAACTCAGATCAGTAGTTCTCAGTCAGGTGCAATTTTGTGCCCATAGGATATTTGGTAATGTCTGGATGCACTTTTAATTGTAATGACTTGTGGAACAATACTATAGGAATTTAGTGAGTAGAGCCCAGGATGAGTCTAATCATCCTACAATGCACAAGACAGCTCTTTCACCCACCAACAAAAATGGTTCAGCTCAAAATGTCAGTAGTGATTTAAAGAAAGCTGGTAGAAGGTCAGTAGGAAAAGAAGTTAGAAATGAAGTCAGCAAACCCAAATATGGAGCTTTAACATTTTCTTATGTGTGATGGATGGGAAGTGATATAATTTTAGCAGAATAATTACATTTTTATATTTATTTCCACGATAACTCTATAAGCTGAAATAAAGAAGATACATTTGTTTTCACTGACACTGAATGCTATATAACTATAATTATTCTATTAGTCATAATAATTTACATGCAATAGCATGTAGTAGAGATAAAAGTTTAAGAAAGCTCACTACCTCACTCTGTGCAACATATATGAAAAGATTTACATTTGAAGCAAGATGTAAAGAAATAGATGTACCTAGAGCAGTTATTATTTCGATTATTTCAGCTTGAATTTCCCTGTGATTTTTTTTCTCCTTATCTTTTAAAATATTTTAACTTTTGAAGACTCTGGGTCCTTGACAATTTGTTGGATGAGATCATCACTGATGGTAGTAGAATTTAGGAACATTTGCTCACATTATAAATTTCAAACTAGGCTTGTTTGATTAATTTTATTAAGGAAGTTCTACCACAATTAAATGCCAAGTATTTGGAGTGTAACATATTCAGGTAGACACTTAAATTTTATGGAGACAAAAATATGTACATAGGCTTCTCCTGTCAATTTTTAATATTGTGCATTTAAAAAATTTCTTTTAGTATGAAATTTGGAAACCCTCCCATATTCTTTTGTGTGTTTGAGCAAAATAAGTGTCTGTGACTCTTTTGGAAGATGCTTTGCAGATGGACAGGGCTCTGTTTTTGCATTAAATAGAAGCAAATGCCATGCTTCACTGGTACAGCAACCAGCATTTATGCAAATCTGAAGAGTAGGCAGGTGCAAGAGTAAATTTCTTAATGCCATTTGCTCTGAAAATTATATAAAGCCTCTAAAGCTATGCTTTTTATAGTAAAGGATTTTTGTTTGGTATTTTTTAAAAATAACACCTGCTCCAGGCAGAAAAGTAAGTGCCCAGTCAGCAGGAAGTGGGTTGCTTTTTGTGGGGAAGGAGTCCCTGCTCTTGTCTCTAAGAAATAATAAGACAATAAATGAAATATATTTTGAAAATGCTGGGGAGGGAGGTGGAGGTAAAAGGAGGAGAGCGAGATGGGAGAGATTTTGCTTTTTGCACTGACAGATGCAGGCAAATGGCAGCAATTCAGCTCAGCCAAGGAGATGGAAGAACTCCACGGGACTCCATCTGGGGCCTGTTTCTTTGGCCTGTGAAGCCTGGCAGAGCCTTTCCCTGGTAAGTGTGTATTTCCCTTTGTCTTTCCACCCTGGCCTAAAATAAGAAGGACTTTGTGTACAATTATCTGATGAACTCTCAAGAGCTAATGACTCTCATTTCTTTGTTTGTTTGTTTGTTTTCCTTGATGAATTTTCCTTCATCCTTTCAACACACTGCCGTAGACTCAACAGTGAGTAATTAAGATCAGAGATTTGTTTATTCTGATTCCTCTCATCATAGCTGGATTCTCCCTGACAATATATTTTGGTAACCTCCTTATTTTCAAAGAGAGGTAGATTGTGTCTTAATGTTTTAACGACATGATGTCTCAAAACATTTGTCTGCTCTTGGAGACACTAGTAGTTCACTCATATATTTTTTATTCCCGTAAGGAAGTCTTACCATGTGTTATCAAGAACTGGTGGGGCTGGAAATGAAGAAACTCATTTTTCATCCTAGCTGTGTCATTAACTCCTTTCAGCCACTCAGTCATGTAACCTTTTTAAAAAAATTTTCTGAATATAATGGCATTATGGATATGAACGCCATCTTCCCATTCATCTCCAAGATTAGTCACCTGTTCTGAGTTTCTGTACTGATGTTCCATTCTCTTAAACATCCCCACGTACATCCCCCTGAAAATTATCATACAAAGAGTAAAAAGTTTCTTAGAAAGAGGCAGGTTTACTCTTACTTGGCAAAAGATAAACAAGACATAAGCACCAGCTTTACATCCAGCGCTGTGCTAGGTGTTAGAAACACAATATGAGTAGCATTTAGCCCCTCTCGTTAGAAAGTTGAAAATCTTCCTAAGATTTAAATGTAGAAATATATCGTGATTGTAAAATAGTATATATTTATTTAGTATATCAGATAATGGAATAGACACTCTTATGGGTGGTTTTAAGTGACATTACTACCTATTAACTCTATGGTGTTAAGCACATACCTATTCTCCATAGTCATTTTCTCTTCATTTTTCCCTTCCAAATGCACCCAACACCTTGCTCGCAGTCTCAATGTATTTACTTCCTAAGTTTCTCCCCTTCAGAGTACCTCTGAACTGTTTCCCTCAGCTAACAGCCCTACCTCTTCTCAGTGTGGTTTACCTACAGGCTTTTCTTCTATATACTTTCTTTACTCTCATTCCTTTGGGGTTATGGGTAGCAACCACCCTGTTGTTACTATCCCCACAGCTCAGGAAGGGACATCCCTGGTATTTCCCATGCATTCTATCTACATTTAAAAACATTTTTTCATTGGCTAGGCACAGTGGCTCAGACCTGTAATCTCAGCACTTTGCGAGGCCTAGGCAGGAGAATAGCTTGAGCCTAGGAGTGCCAGACCAGCCTGGGCAATATAGTGAGACCCCGTCTCTACAGAACATTTTAAAAATTAGCAAAGCATGGTGGCACACGCCTGTAGTCCCTGTAGTCCTAGCTACTCAGAAGGCTTAGATGGGAGGATTGTTGAGCCCAGGAGGTGGAGGCTGCAGTGAGCTGAGATAGCACCATTGCACTTCGGCCTAGGCAACAGAGTAAAACACTGTCTTAATAATAAAAATAATCAAACATTTCCATTAATAAACCTTCCTAAAATTATAAAAAATGAATATATCATTAATTCCTGCTAATGTACAATTTGAGAGGGATGCAAAGCTGTCCTTGAAATGAGATTATCAGAAAAGGTGGCATTTCATAGTCATCAATATATAGGAAATCAGAGAACCTCAAGGGAATAATTAACAATTTGATGTCTCAAGTCTATTTCCTAGGATAGCAGGTTCATAGTTGGAGGTTTACATATTAAGAGAATTCTCAGGATCAACACCCGTATGGGAGTGAAGGCAGTAGGGTTGGTCTCACACGGGGGAATTCAATTGTGATTGAACTGCAGCAAAAGACTCACAATAGCTTGGGGAACACTGGTGATGTGTCAGCCCATCAGAGTTGTCCTGCCTTCAGATGAGGCAGCGAAGCTTCATCATGAAAGGGACATCTTGGATGAAGCAGCTGTCTTGGAAAAATTCCTCAAAGAAGACCAACTGAGAGCCTTCTGCTATTTATACTTTCAGCTGCCACTGGAGAAAGAGTGTCTTGGTCCAAAAGGGAAGATCTGAGTAGCACGAACAGCACAGGACTCACTACATTTGGTATGGAAGGACGTCAGGCTGTGTTTGGGGGAGTATTAGAGGAAAAAGGGGAAACGTGTATGAAAAGTCTTGCTAACAGAGCTAACGACATTTAACAAGTTATCTATGCTTTCTGAGACTCATTGTGATGTTTAACAAGTTATCTACACTTTCTGCGACTCATTTGATCATAAAAAGCAAGATCTGGTTTTATCTCTGAGATTTTTCAGGCTTTAACTTTCCTTCAGTGTACCCGGATCCTGTTCTCATGAATGTTAACAAGAAATTAATAATTAGGAAGCCAAATAGGTTTGCCATATCCCTTGGTCTTTTTAATTTATTTTCTTATTTATTTTTAGAGACAGGGACTGTCTGTCACCCGGGTTGGAGTGCAGTGGCAGGATCCTAGCTCACTGCAGCCTCAAACTCCTGGGCTCAAGTGGTCCTTTTGTCTAAGTGTCCCAAAGTGTTGAGATTACAGGCAAGAGCCACTATGCCAGCCCAATACTAGTCTTCTGGAATGAGCCCTCAATTAACCTCTTCAACCAGAGAAAGCAAAAAGTGACTTTTATGGAATGCCTACCCTACCCCAGTCACCGTGCTACTTTCGAACCTGCATAAGTAGGTTGTATCTGCATTTTGGAGTTATTTATGTCTTATATACATTATAATTAAAGGTGTACACATTTTCCAATCTGCTGCTCTGTCAAGGCAAGACCATTGATATTATACAAGCACTAACATGGAGTGAGATTCATATTCTGCTCCTTAGGAGTTATGGGACCTCTGACTAATTCATTAAATTAACTCAACCTCAGTTTCTTCATTGGCAAAAATGGAGATTCATTTCCTTTTTTTTCTAAAATCTATAACATATATGAAATGCCCTGTAGAGTGTATGGAAGATAACAGGTACTCAATATTTTATATTATCTCTCCCTGCTCTTGTCATACGTTTTCTTCTTACAGTTCCTTTTATGCTTTCTTTCTTCCTCGGGTTTCTCTTTTCTTCCTAGAGTGCTCCTTGAAAACAGAGAATGTGCATAACATATCTTAATTTTGCAATGGTTAAATAATGCCTTATGTTTTAACAAGGGCTTTTCTAAGCCCAGTCTCTGGGCCACCAATATCAGAATCACCAGATTTCTTTATAAAATATAGAATCATAGTCTCTAGTTCAAAATATTGAATTCAGAATATCTGAGGTTATACTCATCCATTTTATCAACATTCTCAAGTGAGTCTTATACATGTAGAAATCTGGGAATTAGTGATTCAAGAAATTCAGGAAAAATGTTTGCTAAAAACACATATGTGTGATGTGATTGTTCCCAACATTCTTCTCTTAAGAAAATGAGGATGGCCAGAAAAAAAAAAAGAAAGAAAAAGAAATATAAACATGCTTCTTTTAATCTACTAACCATTTTGTATTAATCGTTTAAGGATAAAATAATGAGAGGGCATACTGAAGTTAGATTGGGTTAACTATGTTCTAGGAGATGTTAAATTAGGAAAGATGCCGGGTCCAATTAGAGTCCCTAGAGATTCATGCCTCAGTGAGATAATTAGAGAATTAAGGAGTTTTTATTCAAAATGTGGTTATTATAAAGAAATAAGAGATAAAAGTTCCTAAGATCTTTGGCATTATTCTAAATGAACAAGGTTCTTCTGCTATAGAAAGATTCAACATAAATAAGACTCATGAACTAGAAACTAAAGAATCACAGACATCCATATAATGTAAAAACTTTGGTAATAGACTTTTCCATCATCTCCCTTAACCATTTATCTGTTTTGAGGATCAAGGAAAAATTATGTTAAAGTTTCTGAGTAATATTTCTAATGTGTAATTTTTCTAAACTCTTAATCCATTTTGCTATCTTCTGCTTTTTCAGCTTTGAGTCCAGAGGAGTTCCAATGAGCATAGTACAATTGCTTTGATACTTCTGTTGATTTCACTCTAAATGTTGATGTGTTATACCTTAGCTTTAATCAAAAACTGTTTTGTTTCTTAATTCTTACCATGGGACAGGTCTGGTTCTACCATATCATCGTTTGTATATGATCTCTAGAAATATGATTCTTCTGCCCTTATCCTCATCAAAAATAATACACGGACTCTCTTGCTAGTATTCTGTGAAATTTTTAAAGCCTGGAAATCCCTAGGAACTGAAATTGAGACCAATCTCTGCTAAGCATTGGAAATAAGCTATAGACGCTTCTTAGCAAAATGTGTAAACACCAAAAGAATAAAGAAAATCAAATGAATTTTTGTTGCCAGAATCAGGAATCCTCTCTTTTAGGAAATGAGCTAATGGCTAATACTTATCTCTACTTTTCCAATGGTTTTGGATCATTTACAACAGTTGAATATACTTACACATACATATGTTTTCATCCAAATGTGGAAGCATTTTCTCCCTAAACTTATGCCTAACCTGGCTTAATTTTTACTTAATTAGGGGCATTTTATCTATATGATGCCCTAACTTGACATTCTACTGATTCTTATTTGTATCTTCACCAGCATACAATTTATCTTTCCTCTTTGTCTTATATAATTTCTAAGATTTTCTCTATTTACCAGACTTAATTCTATAGAAATCAACCCAAATCATAGTTAATTACCTAGCATTCAGCCAGAATTGGCCCAGCTCTGTCAATAAGAGGTACTGTAATACCGTGGCTAAATACTCTTCCTGTTCATCTGCCAGTGTGTGAATTATATAGCAAGATGAACAACAACAACAACAACAAAAAACTTCACCTTTCTACATCATCTATTTTTCTATGCTGAGTACAAAACATGTCTCTGGATTCTGTTATCTAATTGTATCCTTAAACCTCACAATGGATTACGCCAAAATCTAGGCAATAATTTCAGTGT